CCCCCCCCCGCAGTTACAGGTGCCCCCCAGAGACCCACCACAAGCCCTGCCTTCTTCCTGCCAGTCCCTTCTGGCCTGACCTGACCCAGAGATCTTTCCCTTTTGCCTCCAGACATGGTCTCAGCCAAGGAGGCGGCCAAGCCCAACCCCGCCACGGACTCGCAGTTCCCGGTGCCAAATGTAGGTCTAGGTGGAGAGGTGCGGCACGGTGTGGGGCTGGGAGAGGGGCCGCAGTCCTGAACCCAGGTTGGGGCCCTCCATGCCAGGGTGGGCAGAGAGGGTGGCCTTGGGCTGGCTCCCCACTGAGCTCCGGACCCCACCAGCTCGAGGTCCCGCCCCGGCCCCCGGCTGTCACTTCCACTCCTGCGCCCAAGGCCGAGCCCACCATCATCCCCGCCACCCGGAACGAGCCCATCGGGCTGAAGGCCTCCGACTTCCTGCCCGTGAGTGGGGGTCCAGCCTGAGGGCGGGGTGGGGGCCCAGGGGGCAAGGGCGGAACTTTACCGCCAGCACCTGAGCGCTCGTCCCGCACAGGCCGTGAAGATCCCCCAGCAGGCGGAGCTGGTCGACGAGGACGCCATGTCACAGATCCGCAAAGGCCATGACACCATGTGCGTGGTACTCACCAGCCGCCACAAGAACCTGGACACCGTGCGGGCCGTGTGGACCACGGGCGACATCAAGGCAAGCGCTTACCCCCAGGCTCTGGGCCGTCCCCAGAAGAAAGCTGCGCCAGGGCGGGCCGTGGGGCTGGGTGGCCCCTGTCACCACGCAGTGGCTGACTTTGCGTCCGTTTCTGCCATCGTCATCATCACGAGCTGCCATTTACTGACCGCCTCTTTACGGGCCTGGCCTCACACTCGTCATCGTAGCTGCAGTCTTGTTAACAGCCCACAACAAAGCCCATCGTCACGCCGCGCGGGCAGGGGCCGGGCCGTCCCCGTCCCCTCTGACAGGCGCTCTGTTTGCACAGACGTCAGTGGACTCGGCTGTGGCCATCAATGACTTGTCGGTGGTAGTGGACCTCCTGAACATTGTCAACCAGAAAGCGTGAGTAGTCGCGGGGGGCGGAGCCGGCCCGGTGGGCGGAGCCGGCTGCTAAGGGCCCCTGGCCCTGGCCCTCTCCCTAGCTCCCTGTGGAAGCTGGACCTGTGCACCACCGTCTTGCCGCAGATCGAGAAGCTTCTGCAGAGCAAGTATGAGAGGTATGTGTGGGGAAGCCATACTGGCCTCACGGCGGGGACGGAAAGGGGCAGGACGCTCCTCAGGGACAATGGGAAGGGCCCCCAGGGCCGGCGCCCCTGTGAGTGTGCGGCACCGCGGCCCTGGCCAAGTCGGAGAGGCCACGGTGGAATCGAGCCTGTGCTGCCCCCGGCCCTCTGCCCTCTGCCCTCTGCCTACCACGTCTGTCTTTGTGTACCTTGCTCTCTGTTTATCCTTCTGTCTGTGGCTCCATCCGTCCGCCCCTGAAGCTACGTGCAGACCGGCTGCACCTCCCTGAAACTGATCCTGCAGCGGTTTCTGCCCCTGATCACGGACATCCTGGCGGCACCCCCCTCTGTGGGTGTGGACATCAGCCGGGAGGAGAGGTGAGGGGCCAACAGTGTGCCAGCGTTGGGGCGTGGGGGTACACAGGTGTGGGCGCCCAGCCTGCTTGTTGAGGAGGAGGTTGTGCCGGGGACAGGGGCTGGGGTGGCTGCAGCCGGGGCTCTTCCGTGGCCTGGCTCTGCCCTGCGCCTTGGCGTGGCCAGGGTGGGTCGCGCATCCGGGGCCTCGGCCTGCCTCCCAGAGGAGGGGGGTAGCGTGGTGGGGAAGGCCCTCGCACCTGTGCCCGACCTCTGTGCCCACAGGCTACACAAGTGCCGACTCTGCTACAAGCAGCTTAAGAGCATCAGTGGCCTCGTCAAGAGCAAGTCGGGTTTGAGTGGCCGCCACGGCAGTGCCTTCCGAGAGCTGCACCTGCTCATGGCCAGTTTGGACTGAGGAGCGCTCGGGTCTGGCCTCAGCCCCCATTCCTGTTCCCTGTGCTCTCCTGGGCCCGTGAGCCTCTGCCCGGCCCCCTCTGCAGCCCGGTGGCCATCCTGGAGGCGGCGGCTCTGGCCCACTGGCCACCTGCACAGCCCCGAGCTCTCAGACAACTTCTCCCTGGCAGCTGCTGCCCAGCTTGGCCAACTCCCGCTTCTTGGGGCAGCAAAGAGCACCCTGGGGCTGCTGCTGTAATTTATAAGGCGAATTTTATTAAATTTGTAACTATTCCCTGGTTTCTTTGCCTGGAGGGGCATTCTGTGGCCGCACGGCTCTCTCTGGCCCAGGTCGGCCTGCCTGGGCCCCTCAGAGACAGACGGCTACCCCTCCAGGCCTGAGGCAGTGGGGCCAGCAGGGGGCAGCGGAGTGCCAAGCCTGCAGCAAGGGGCACGCTCAGGGCACTGCGGCGGGGAGGTGGTGGCAACTCCCCCTTTCGTGGCTGAGGGAGACAGACGAGGGGCGGGCCCCACCAGCCCACCCCCTCTGTCTCAGCCACACTCCCAGCTGTCCGGTGGACGCCTCCAGGGCCAGCCGACAGCTGTGTACTTCCTGGTGCCAGGACCCCAGCCTCGCAGGCTTGGCCGCCGGAGCCCACCACCCTCCCTGCCGCCCTCCCGGAGGCCTCCAGGGACAGGGGCAGCGGCCCTCTCCTCCGGTGAGGGCTCTGACCAGCTTTCCCTCCCCGCAGGATCGGCCAGTGCGGATCCCTTCTGTTCCTGTGGCAGCAGCTGGTAGATTTGCCGCAGTTGGAGAGAGGGCCCCACTGAGCCCCTGTGCGCATTCCCCGCCAAGGCCGAGACCAGGTGCAGGCCAGCACAACCCCCATGGTGGGGCGGGGGGCCGGCGGGGGGCGGGGTGTCTTGTAGCACGGGGAGGAGGGGGGTGCTCACCTACAGCCAGTTCACTACGGGCAAGGCCAGGGCCTAAGGCAGGTGGGGGAGCCAGGCCAGGCCTGCGGGCTATGGTTCTCAGGCCAGTTTCCCAGCTATAGCATAGCGTGTTGCTGGGTGGGTCAGTCTGACCAGGGGCTCAGGAGACGAATTCTTGCAGACTGTACTTGTGTAAAAAGGTTTTTATTTTAATAAGTAAAAATGGCTAAGCTTCCAAAAGTTCTTAAATAGAATTTCAGAGGGGGGAAAATGGCAAGAGGCCAGTGAGCAAGGAGAGAGCCTGGTGGCAGGCTGACGAGGGGAACAGCAGAATCCCCGCCTACTGGCCTCCCGCCAGCCATAAATATAGCCCGGCCTCCTATGTACACCTAGGAATACTATATACAAACCGAGCACGGGGGCCTGCCTTGGAGGGGAGTGGGGCCAGGGCTGCCCCAGGATGCCCACCAACTGCCCAGATCCCATGGTCCCTGTGCCTTCCGGGGGGGCTCCTCAGCCCACCCGTTAGAGACAGGGCCAGGCCTGGGGAGAAGCTGGGAGAGGCCTGGCCTGCCAGGCGGAGTGGGCCATCCCTGCCCTTCCAGCCCATGCCTTTTGCACCCACAGCCACTGCCAGGAGACACCATTTCCTTCTGACCAGGTTTTCTCATCTCTGAGCAGATACGAGGCAGAAGGGCTGCCTCCGCTCCAGCCTGCAGCTCCTGGGCTCCTGTTGCTACAGCAGGAGCAGGCCGGCAAGGCCTCAGGCCCCCGTCCCCGGGCTGGCAGGGGGGCCACGTCCGTCACACAGGCACCGGCCTGGACTTCCCTGCAGGAGGGGGAGAGAGGCTTCGTGAGCCTCGGCGTATGCGGACGGGAGGGAGCCAGGCAGAAGCACATAGACAGCAGGGGCAGCAGGACAGGCCCCGCCCTGAGCAGCCCTCTCCCCACACAGCCCTGCAACCCAAGGGGGCCAGGCGGGGGGGGGCTGGCCCCACACTCACCTGGAGACTCTGCAGCCCCAGCCGTCAGGCTGAAATCAAAGCGACAGGTGTCTCACTGGTGGGCTTTCCTGGGGCCAGGACTCCCCGGGACCCTAAGGCCCCTGCCTCCTCGGATCCAGCCCTGGCCAGGCCCCTCTGTGAGTGGGACCACACAGGGGGCTGGGCTCACTCCTCACCTGGGACATGGGTGGGCCCTGTGCCCCACCCTCCCCAGAAACCAAGGCCCAGGGCAGGAGTGCCTGGCCTGCTTTGGGAGATGTGTGGCTTGAGCCCAGCCTCAGAGAATTGCATCCTGGGCCTCAAGTTAGGAGCGCCAAGGGCTGGGTTCCTCCTCACACTACTCCTTCTCCAAGGGGCCTTTGGTTTTCCCATCTGTAAAATGGGCCTAGTGCTGCCTGCCCTAACTATTTCCCAGGGCCAGAGAAGGTTGTAAAACAGGTTCTGCATGAGTTTTACAAACTTGAAAAGGAAAACAAAAAGTTCATTCAGGCAAGGACAGTCCAGTGGCTATCCACCTGTGGGGGGAGGCTCACCCCCCCACACACACCCCCACACTGGTCCACTCCCCAAAGGCTCACCCAAGGGCTGCAGCTTCCTCCGGATTGAGCCTGGGCGGCTGGTGGTCCCAGAGCCGGGGGCTGAGTGTGCTCGTGCTGAGGGCTGTGGGGTCTGGCAAGCTGGCTCCCACTGTGGGCAGGGGGCAAGCAGGTGGGCGGGGGCCATGCTGCCCTGGCTCCCCACCTCCACCGTGCTCCCCTCCCCCCGTTCCCCTCTCCAGCCTCCTGAAACTGCTCATCTGCAAAATGGGCATGATGAGGATAGCCCCGCCTCAGTTACTGCAAGAATTACCTGAGATAATGTATGTAAAGGAGGGAATGAGTTACTCCTGAGCACCTGTGTGCCAGTCTGCAGCCCCCCGCCCACCCCCCCCTCCAGCCAGCTGAGGACGGCCACGGGTATTTCTGAGGCCAAGAAGTATTGAGACTAAAGAGGCTCCTGGCCGGGATTCCTGGGTGGCTCAATCGGTTAAGCGTCTGCCTTCAGCTCAGGTCATGATCCCAGGGTCCTGGGACCGAGCCCCGCATCAGACTTCCTGCTCAGCGGAGAGTCTCCTTCTCCCGCTTCCCAGCCCTGTGCTCATGCTCTCTCAAATAAAGTCATTAAAATAAATAGAGGCTCCTGGGTTCAAGTTCTGGCTCCTCCCCCTCTGGCCTCTTCCCTTCGGCCGTTCCCCACCCCAGACCCTCCCTCCTGCCCATGACCTGGACGTGCCAGCCCAAGATGCAGCTGTGGCGGTCACCATACCTCCAGATGCTCCTGGCTGGACCAGGACCCGAGCTCTGCCCTGCGGGACCCAGGGCCCAGCTCCACAGAGCGCACCCTCTCAGCAAACTTCAGGGAGTATAGCGTCTCGCTGGTGTTCTTCTCCACGGGGGACACCTAGGGGACACGAGAGCTCACTCCCCATCCAGGCCAGCGGGCCTCCCCCTCAGAACTGGAGGGGGCAGCGTGCGCATGGACTTTGGAGCAGCTGAGGACCAGGGTCCCTTCCCCGCACCGCCCGGGGTACGTGAGCCACAGGCGAAGGGGGTCCCCGGTCGTGGTGCCGGCCAAGCCCCGCACCCTGCCGGCCAGCGCGCCTGGCCCAGTGGAGGGCCTCACCTGCACCACCATGAGCGTCTTGCTGTCCCCGCTGAGCGAGTCCTGCAGCAGGTAGGTGAGCTTGGAGTTGCGGAAGGGCACGTGGCCCTGGCGGGAGCGCAGAGCAGCAATGACATCCCCCAGGGCTGACAGCGACCTGTTGATGTGCTGGGCCTCCCGCAGGCGGCTGCCCTCGGCCCCCGACTTGCCCACGCGCTCCGAGCCCGCCAGGTCCACCAGGTTCAGCTTCCCTGCGGGGAGGGCGCCAGGCAGGTCAAGGCCGCCGCCGGGTGGGGGCGGGAGCCAGGGCTCCTCCGGCCGGGCGCCCCCGGCCTCGCTCACCCGTGGTGCGGAGGCCAGTGCTGCAGTCCACTCCGCGCACCGTCACGATGAGCAGGGCGTGCGAGCGGGAGCTGTGCTCGTTCAGGTTGGTGAACTCCGTCGTGCGGTTAGTGTGGCCGAACTCAAACACCTGGTGGGGAGCAGGGAGGCCTCTGGAATTGCCCCATCCCCAGGACCCCTGGGAGGGGGTGTCCCCCAGGCCTGGGGACCTGGCAGAGGCTGCATCGGAAACCCACGCGTCCTGCTCCAGCTCGGCTTGTGGGCGGGGTCTCCCCAGCGCGTCCCCGCCCCCCCCCCCCCCCCGACCCCCCAGCCTTGCACCTTGTTGATGTCGTCCACGCTCTGCACCTGGAACTCGGTCAGCCCCGGCACGTACAGCTGCCCGCTGCCGTCCGGGCACAGCCGGATCTCCAGCTTCTCCTGGGGCTCCTGCCCCAGCAGGTCCCTGCAGGGACAGGGTGCACGGTCACTCCCTCCTCCCACTTCTGCCTCTGCTTGCACTGCACCCCGCCCACCCCCTCCACCTAGAATGTTCTCCCACCCCATCACACCTTCAGGAAGCCTTCCTTAACCACTGGGCTAAGCCTCTCTCCTCTCTAGCTCCTGCCCTGCACTCAGTCCGCTGAGGGGCAGACTGTTCCCCAAAGGTCCCATGGTGGCATTACTCCTGCCCCCACGGGGCACTGAGCTCTTGAGGGCAGGGCCCCCCAAATCCCCACTCTTGTTTCTCAGCACCCGGTGTAGCCTGCAGGGAGAACGGGTAGACTTGGAGGGAAAAGGAGCACCTGGGTCTGATCGGGGTGGAGCGAGCCCGGCGGGGTGGGGCAGGGGCCTGGGACCACCCAGCGCCGGGCTGAAGCAGGACACGGGGCCCCGACTTGCTCCCGCATGGCCGCGCACGGCCCTCCCACCTGAGGGCCTCGTTGTAGATCTCGGCCGCGCTGACCGTAATGGTGTACTCCCAGGCCGACGCCTTCTCCTGCACCTCGGAGAAGAGCAGCTGTAGGGCCCGCTGGTTGATGCCGGGGTTCTCGGGGGTCCCCTGGGGGCAGAAGCAAGGCCCCAGTGAGCCACGCCTCTCCGATCCGCAAGGGGTGGGCCGTGCTGATGCTTGTGTGCGGTCTGTGGCCCCCTCCCCCTCTGGCGACCACTCAGGCCAGCCACCCCGCCCAAAGCTTCCACCTGCCTCCTGGTCTGCCCCCCAAACATCCTCTCCTAGCCGCAAGCAACGTCACTCTCTTGGGCCTCAGTTTCCCCCACCTTTCCATGGCACTGCCTTACCAGGACTAGCCTGAGACTCAGAGCAGAGCCCTGGGTTATGTGCTGCTGAGCGCCAGGTGCATACCTGCTCCTGGGGGCCCCCTGGGAGGGGGCACTGGGAACCTACGACCTGCCTGCCGCCGCCCAGAGGGTGGCCCGTGTCAGGGAGGCCACGAGCTGGGCTCTGCGGGTGGTGGAAGGGGGGCACAGGCAGAGCCACGGTGCGGTGGCACCAGATGGGCTGGCCAGCCCTTCTAGAAAGAAACCTGGAGGGCGCCTGGGTGGCTCAGCTGATTAAGCGACTGCCTTCGGCTCAGGTCATGATCCTGGAGTCCCGGGATCGAGTCCCGCATCCGAGCCTGCCTCTGCCTCTGACCCTCCCCCCTCTCATGTGCTCTCTCTCTCTCATTCTCTCTCTCTCAAATAAATAAATAAAATCTTAAAAAAAAAAAAAGAAACCTGGAGTACTCACCTGAGCTGTCACCTCCCCTTATGTATCACCCCTCACCCCCTTCCACTTCTGTGGCTCAGCCTCCTTGCCTCCGGCCTTGTGGCCTCAGCCCTGCTGATCCCCGTGCCTGGGATGCTCTTCCCCACAGGCCCCCATGGTTGGCTCCAATGTCACTTCCTCGGGCAGGTGGCTTCATCTTCCCTCCAAAGGCCTGATCCCTCCCTCATGGCTGATTCCTCATACTCGGCTTTAAGTTTCCTCCCTGGCACCTGACAGGACACAGCCTGATTTGTTGTGGGCACTGCTGTCTCCCCACTGGCGGGCGGCTCGGGGGGGCAGACACTCTGTGGTCACAGCTGTGCCCGGCCCCCAGAACAGCACTCCGTGTACGTGGGCCTCGGCAGGTAATGTTGGAGGAGAGATGCTCCTGGAGGTCACCCCAACTGTGAGCACCCGAGAGAGTTAGGAGTCCACCCCTCCCCCCTCCCCTCCCCCCCACCATCTTGCTTGGCCTGCCCCCCACTAACCAGTCTCATCAATCCCAGAACTAGGGCAACAGCAGGGTCCAGACTGGGAAGAAAGAGCCACCATGGCAGCCTCCCCAATAGGTGCCCTGTCCAGACAATGGGACACCTGTCCTCACCCCCTCGCAGAGAACCCCACAACACCCCCTCAAGAGCTGGGGAAATGCTAACAAACCAGAGACACCCCCAGGGACCACCTTCCATTTTTATCTACAGTTGAGATTCTTCCTCCTCTCAATGCTCCCTCTCCTGCCACTCCGCACCGAGGGGGCTTGGCCACAGGCCGGGAGATGAGGCCCTGCCCTGGCCCTGGCAGCAGAGACTGCCCTCATTCATCCTAACACCCCAGGGCCCAGCACCGGGCAGCTATACAGCAGGAGCCCAATAAATGCGTGGAGGGAAAATGAAAGCCCATCCCGAGAGACATACAGGAGGTCTGGCCTGGACTCGGACCTCAGGCGGGGATCCCTGTGATGCTGGAGTTTGTTGGCACCGCACGTGCCCCGCCCCATGCCCGCCGGGACCGTCTCAGGTCCTCCTGGGCAAGGCGCCCCTCTTCAGGCCTGGTGCCTCCGGGCTAACACAGACGACTACCAGCTCTGCTCCCGTACCGCCGGAACCCCGAAGCCACGAGGGCAGCAAGGGGGTGCTCCTCACCGGTGGAACCCCTGCCCCCTGCAGCGGGTACCCACCTCCATCGTGTACGTCTTGCCGGCACCCGTCTGGCCGTAGGCGAAGATACAGACGTTGAAGCCGTCGATGCAGGAGGTGATCAGGGCTTGCACCTCCTGGAACACCTGTGAAGGGGACGTGGGATGGAGATGGCGAGCCCCCCGTGGGCCCCCCACCAGCTCTAGGTCCTGCCACCTCCCCCGAGCGCGCTCTCCTTCAGCAGTAACACAGCGGGTACTGTTACTGGCAAGCCGCTCACCGTGGAAGAATTTGTGCCTAATGGGTCACTTACAACAGACCTCAGTGGGCAATCAGGGTGCCAAGACTGAAGGGACGACAGGGCAGTGTCTCCTGCCCGCCATCGCCTGAGGAAGGGCTGCCCGGCCCTGGAGCTCAGGGACCCCACCTCTAGCTTCTCCCACGCTAAAGGAGAGCTCGGCAAAATGAAGGCGGAGGCCAGCATGTGTCTGGCGCCTCCTGCAGCCTGTCTGCCTCCTAGCAGACAGAGGACGGGGCCAAGGTGAGGCCAAGCACAGGGACAGGCGGGACAGGCGGGACAGGCGGGACAGGCGGGACAGGCCTGGCCGGTCAGCCCTGGCAGAGAGGAGAGAAGAACGCGGCTGAGACCACGGGGCTCTGACGGGCTGAGGGCTCTGCAGGTCAGCGGGGGCATCCTAGGAAGACCCGCGGACTGAGTCCTGTGCTCCCAGCAGGGGAAGCAACGCCCCCCAGGGTCAGGTGGGCGGGCGGGGCTGTGTGTGTAGGAGGGGCTCCGTGGGTGGGAGGGGCCCTGTGGGAGGGCATGGGCACGTGGGTGGGAGGGGCCCCAATAGTGGGTGGGTCTGTAAGGATGGGAGGGGCCCCAGTAGTGGGCGGGTCTATAAGGGTGGGAGAGGCCCTATGGGTGGGCATGGGCTCGTGGGTGGGAGGGGCCCCAATAGTGGGCGGGTCGGTAGGGATGGGAGGGGCCCCAATAGTGGGTGGGTCTATGAGTGTGGGTGGGCCCTGTGGGTGGGCATGGGCACGTGGGAGGGAGGGGCCTCCAATAGTGGGCAGGTCTGTAAGGGTGGGAGGAGCCCTGTGGCTGGGCATGGGCACGTGGGTGGGAGGGGCCCGAATAGTGGGTGGGGCTGTAAGGGTGGGAGGAACAGCGTAGGTGCCATAGGCTGTCCTTGAATCTCCGCCCTGCAGAGGCTTCTCAGCCTGTCTTAGCTTCCCACTCTCCTCTCCTCCAGTGGAAGAAGCGAGGCATTCCAGCACCCCAAGCTTCTCCATCCTGTCTCTCCCACTCTTAAAATTTCTTTCTGTCCATGCCCCCATCATCTCTCCCTGTGTGAACCGCCCCCCTTCCACTGCTCTGTCCGTATCCCCACTCACGTCCTGCTGTGAGGCCCGCGGGGAGAAGACCTTGTCCAGCTCAAAGGATACAGGCTTTCCTTTGTGCAGCAGGTGGATGATGGAATCGTCGTCGGCATCGAAGGTCACAGCATTGGTCGCATCGGGTCCTTCCCCGTCCTCTTTGGTGACTGGCCGGACACGAGCAATCACCCTGATGTTCCCTGGATTGTGTGGGGAGGATAGAAGGGTACATACAGGCTGGGTCAAAATGACTGCCTCCCCACTGGCGTCCTTTGGTGTCCTGGGCAGCCTGGTGGCTCAGGAAGCCCTAGCCTTCTGAGCAAGGCCACCCACAACGCTGTTATCAGTCACTCACACTATCATGAATTCATGTATCAGTACACTTTCTTCCTGGGCAAACCAGCTGAGATTGGGAGCTTCACGCTGGGGAAGGGAGGAAGGGTCAATTGTGGGGCTCAGGCACTGCCTCCAGTCCGGGTGGGATACCAAATGGACACTCTGTATCTATGGACTTCAGTTTCCTCTATACAGTGAGGGGCGTGGGCCCCAATAAGCCAAGAGACTTGTTCTGTCATGCTAAAAGGGCTTCGTGGACGCCCGGACAGGGCTTGGGAATCAGTTGGCCTTAAAGAGAACCAGACAGCAGGTGGACGAGCAGCACATGGAATGGGGATGGGCAACAAGGCAGCTCTGGGGAGCCTGGGGGCGCAGACTGTGCCATCCCCTTGCTTCAAGCCCTTCCGCGGGATCTCAGTGCTCCTAGAATGAAGAACAAACTCCCCGCGACAGCCAGCATGCCCCTACCTTCCCCTTCACTGTACACTGCAACTCACTATCCAGGCCTCAGCTGCGGCTTCACCTCCTCCAGGAAGCCCTGCAACACCCCCCACTGTCAGACACCGAGGGGCTCTTAGAGCCCCTCCCCCGTCCCGGTAACAGGGGCAGTGTCGGGGTTCTCCGGGTGGTTACAGATCACGGTCTGCTCCCCCAGCTGCAGTGAGCACTGTGAGGGCAGCAAGAGCATCTGCGGGCCCACGGCCGTGTCTCAATGTCTGGAACAGCACCGGCAAGAGCAGCCCTCCCTTGCCCTCCATGCCGTCAGCAGGCCCTTGGTCAGAACAAGCAGTCTTCCAGCCCCCCACCACCCAGGGCTTCCCTACCCCCACTGGGGCCCTCCCGGGGCCTGGGGGTGGCCTGCCGCGGGCACCGGGGTGAGGGCTTCAGAGTAGGACCGAACAAAGTCCACATCCAGGGTGGACCATCTGGTAGCCATGCGCGTTGCAGCCAGTTCCCTGACTTCTGTGGGCCCGGGGTTTCCCTATCTACCGAGAGTGGGAGCTACAGTAGCCCCTCGGCGACCGGGTGCAGGCTCCAAGGCCGTGGCCCTGGGCTGGGGGGCAGGGCAGCATCAGCTCGGAGCCAGGTCGGGGACCCCGTGCCGGGGCGCCCCCAGCCTCCCCCCGCAGCCCTTACCTTTCAGCCGCACGAGCTCATTGTGGCACTTCTTACGCAGCTGCAGCTCCCGGCGGTACTTGCGCAGGAGCTCCTGGTTGTGGCTGTTGACCTCCTCGATGGCCTGGCCGATCTGGCAGGGGGGCGCACAGCGCTGTCAGGGGCTGGCTCCGCCAACCCAGCTTACCACGCTGCCTGCACCCCCGCTCCTGCCCTGGGCTGAGTCCTTGATGCGTGCTGTCACATGTCAGCTCCTTCCAACAGCCCCCGTGGGGACGTACGGCCGCCAGGCCCATTTCACAGAGGAATAAACTGAGCCTCAGAGAGACTAAGCCAGTGGCTCAAGGTTGCCCTAACGATGCAAACAGCCAGGACTCCGCCCTCACTCCCCAGGACTAGCACCTGACTATAATATGATTCAGCCGGAGCCAAATTCCAGCTCTACCCCTGAGCAGCTGGGGGACCCAAGGCAACTAGTTCAGTCATCACATCTCATTTTTCTCATCTGTAAAATGGGAATGACACCAACTGGTCTGTGGATCGGTAGCACCTGGGCGGTAATGATCTCCAAGTCACACTTCATAGGGGAAAGCAGCAAAATGCAGACCACAGATGCAGATGTTCCCCTCTGTTGGGTAGAAGGGTGTGTTTCTGCACCCAAATACACCCACAGGCTTCAGGAGCTCAGAACGCCCGGTGGGGGGGGCGGCGATCCTGACAGACGCCGCCTCTGGGGATCGCGGGCCAGGGAGGCAGAGAGGGTCCCCTTCCTTTTCATCTGATGCCCTTGTGCACGGCTTGAACTTTCTACTATGTCCATGTGTTGTTGACATAATTTTTCTACAGAAAAAGAACCATTTTCTATTCCGGAAATACATCAGTCTCTCCACCCTGCAGGGCCGCGCTACCGATTCAAGGAGCTGACAGCTATAAAAGGCTTCGCATGTAGGAGGCACTTCAGAGAGGCTGGCTATTCTCATGCTGTATAAGCACAGCTTAAGAAAATTAAAACCGATGTAAGAATATATGTAGCCTGTTTAAAATACAAGGATATATGTTGCATGCTTGGTTTAAGGAGTCATAATAAGGGCGCCTCGGTGGCTCAGTCGGTTAAGCGCCTGACTTGATTTTGGCTCAGGTCATGATCTCAGGGTCGTGAGATCGAGCCCCATGTTGGGCTCTGCGCTGGCCATGGAGCCTGCTTAGATTCTCTCTCTGCCCCTCCTCCCCCCAACTCTAAAAAAATAAAATAAAAAATAGTCATAAGAGAAATACTGAAATACCTGCCCCTGACCAGTCTGTTTTTCAGTCTGCGTGAGTGGGGGGAGGAGAGCTGTTGCCTGGCGGCTTCGCTGCACTTTGGAATGGAGCCCTGGGCTCCAGGGCCTCTCCGAGCCTCCCCGGTCCGCTCGGCCGCGCGCCGCACTCACCTCAGCCTTGACGCTCTTGAGGGCCTCCTGCAGGAGCAGGGGGAAGCCGCGCACCTGCCGCTTGAGCCCATTGTAGTCGTTGGTGAGGGTCCGCAGCGCTGGCTGCAGCGTCAGCAGGTTGGTCCGGACCCCTTGGGGCACATGAGAGGTGTAAGGTGGACAGGGGGAGGGGCTGCAGCAGAGGGAGAGGGCAGGGCCCAGCCGGCCGGCTCACCTGCCAGGTTCTCGTGCACAGCCTTCATCTCTACCTGGGCTCTGGCAAAGGCCTCCTCGATGGCCCGGTTCTTGTCTTCCTCCAGGGACTGCATCTCCTCCAGCATCTGCCCGTGCGCCCGCTCCAGCTCTGACTCGTACATGGCGATCTGACGGCCCAGGCCAGAGGCTCAGCGTGGGGCTCGGGAGGCAGGGGGGTGGGTGCCAGAAAGAAGGCCCGCGCCTTACCCCACACGCGCACGTGAGCGAACGGCGCCCCCCACGCATCGGCACAAACACACACACGGGGGGGGTCAGATGGCCATCTCACTCCCGGAAAGGTCTGTGAGCTCCGTGCAGCTCCTTCCTTCATCAGCCCCAGCACCCGCCTGGTGTCCTGGCCCATGACTGGTGCACAAGCCACAGGCCCCAGGAGAGCAGGGGAAAGCACTTGTTACAGTAGTGACCGGGGCCCCTTCCCGAGAACGTGTGTGCTGGGGCCTGTGTGAGGAGACTCGGGATCATGTCCCTGGGCGCGCGCGGGAGGTGCGTTCTGCGAGCACACCCGTTTACAGATGAGGAAACAGAGACGTAGACAAAGCCTGGCCCGGGTCTCACAGGCAGCAGGGAGAGAAGGGCCTGGAACCCAGGTCCGTGGGCCCGCCGCGTGCTGACCCGCTGCCCTTTACTGACGCTGCCTCTGCGGGCTCCCCCCCGGTGCCCCCCCCCGGCGCCCCCGACCCCCGGCGGCCTGCGCACCTGCGCCCGGAGCTGCGCCGTCAACTGGTGTGAGCTATGCAGCTGCTGTTCCATCTCCTTCAGCACCTGCCTCTGCATGGCCACCTGCTCCTGCAGGTGCTGGTTCCGGGCCTGGGACTCGCTGAGGGCCTGCTTGGCCTTGGACGACTCCACCTCCACAGTCCTGATGACGTACTGCGGGGGGGTGGGCGGGACAGGCCCGTGGTGGTGCGAGGGTGCCTCGGCCCGACCCCGGGGACGCAGCTGGCCGCAGGAGGGGACCCTCAGGGACATCCCACCCAGAGTGCCCAGAAGAAAACCGGAGGAGCTTCAAGGTCCTGGCTTTCCAGGGCGCTGCAGGGCCTCTGGGAATCCTGTCATTTCAGTAAGCCCGAGAGCCTGGCTGCGGCCCCAGCCGGGGCACAGAACCGACAAGAAGGGCCAAGACGAGGGCAGAATCTCGCGATGCCCCACACCCATGGCCGGCAGGCGCGGGCACCTCAAGCCTCGGGCGCCGGATGCCCGCCTACTACGTGACTGGCCCCGGACAGCAAGAAGGGGGAGGAGGGGCAAGACTGAGCCCCGACCTGGGACGATTCCTCCAACCACTTGCCCTCACTCATTCACCAAGACAAGCCCCCTGCTCGGCGCGGCCCCGCCCTGGGCGCCAGGGGCCAAGAGGGCAAGGGTCCCGCTCGTGGCCACCGCCGGAGGCTCACCTTGATGGGCGGCGACTGGGCCCGCAGGCTGGCGATGGTCTCGTGGCTGTCCCGCAGGCGCCGGCTCAGCCGCTCCTCCTCCTGCGCCTTCTCGGCCAGGCAGTCCTTGAGCCTCAGCTCGACCTCGGCCAGCCGGTCGGTCTTCTGCTGCACCTCCAGGTTCAGCTCGGACAGCATGCCCTTGTTCTCGGCCACCTCCAGCTGTAGTTGCGACAGCTTGTCCCGGAGCTGGGCGCTCTCCTGCAGGTGGTTGGGGGGGGGCGGGACAAGGGTGCAGCAGACAGAGGGAAGGACAGACGAGCAGGCAGGGGTCACCGCGAGGAACCGGGGTTGCCGTTCGGGACCCAGCCCTCCGGGAGCAGCTGGGGCCGGCCGGCCCGCTCACCTGGCTGTGCTCACAGCCCGCGCAGGGGGCCGCCGCCTTGGCCCGCAGCTCTTGCACCTCGGCCTCGAAGCGCCGCATCTCCTGCTTCAGCCGCTCATTCTCCACCACCAGCAGGTCGCGGTGCTTCTCCAAGTCCGTGCCCCCCTGCAGAGAGCCGGGGCACAGGGGGCGCATGTGGCCAGGGCAGACCTGGGAAGCAAAGAGTGGGGAGGCGGAGGGGGGACAAGGGGCAGGGGAGAGAGGACGAGAGGTGGAGAGAGAGGAGAGAAAGCAAAAGGCAGGCAACGGAGGGAAGAGAGCAGGAGCTCAAGAGGGACAGAAGGCGAAGACAGAGGAGAGAAGGGGAGCCGGAGGGACGGCCTTCACCCGCACCTCTCATTCTATTTTCCTGAGTGTGAAAGTAACAAGAAAGTCGTATTTATACACAGAGTTCACACTCCTATTTTACATCAGCAGACGAGAATTAACCTCTCTCCCTTTGGGGTCACACGGTCTCTGAGGGCCTAGTGAGTGGTGACAAGTATTCGGGGAGCATCTCCCTGGCCGAATTGCAGTCTGCTGGGCATAGATGTGGCCCCCGCTTGGGCTGGACATGAGGGCTCTGGAGAGATGGGGTCCCACACCCCATCTGGCAGGGTCAGTCTGCACAAGGCCAGGTCAGCCCCCCCCAGCAACCCCGACCTTAAGACTTCAGTGTTGAGCCTCACCAGCTCTGATCGAAGGCGGCTCACTTCCTGGGCCTGGCTAATGAGCTTCTCCTTCAGGTTTTCCACCTGCCGGCACAAAGCCACGGTCACGGTGAGCCTCGTTCCTCACCTCCGCCACACCTCCGCCCCTGCCCTCCCTGTGTTCAAGCATCAGGGCACCTGGGACTCCAGGTGAGACACACCTGCCCCGTGCCAACAGCCTTCAGCACCCTCACCTGCCACAAGACCCAGGTAGCCTGGGCTCTTGGGAAAGTGGGGAGCAAGCACAGCAGAGGTGACCCCTGCACCACTCTGAGCCCACGCCAGACTCAGGAGGCCGACCCTCAGGACCCCTGCCTTGCACCGGTCCTTGCCGTGGCCTGTGTCTACTTAGGTATTTGTAATTTTATATTCTTTTCCTTGAAAGAATTGTATAAAGTCGACGCTGCAAAACCTAGATCGGTCTTTGCCTAGACCCTAGATTCTTCCATTCAAGGGGTTCCTGGCAAGTGAGCCTGTGCAGACAGGTCTACCAGCAACCAGGGCGCATCTCAGACCTGTGTCCCCCCACCCCCACCCCCAGCTCCCAGTCTGCCTTGCTGGAGAGCTGGGGCCAGCAGAGAAGGGGGTGCACACCCCGTCAGGAGGCAGGGGTGGCCTGGCTCAGCCAGAGCCCGGGGCAGGGGAAGCCACCACGATGCCAACACATCCCAGGACAGTGGCCCTCCCCCAGAGCTGTCCTCCGGCTGGCCGCCCTCCCTGCTGGCCCCAGACCCTGATTCCGCATCAGCTCCCCTCCGGGAACCTCTCGGGAAGTAACCCAAAAATGCGGCCGAAGACTTTGGCACCACCAGTGTTCCTCCGTGCATGTTTGGGGGTCTTCTTGCAGAACATTCTGTGATGCCCGTTCCTGACTGCACCTCACCTTGAGAAGGCCCAGTGAGAGTCAGACTCCCTCTGTGGGGGGCTAGGAGGTGGGTTTTACCCAAGCAGGCCACGAAGCCCTGGGTTCTTATTACTAAGCGACAGCTGACGAAGTCTGTGGCCTGCAGGGGCCGGGCCAGCCAGGTAAGGCAGGTGAGGGGCAGCACAGGTCTCCCCGGAGGAGGCAGCCACGGCCAGGGACACGCAGGCCCACATCTCCAAACTTCTGATCTTTCAGGAGAGGCCAGATGTTGGGATGCTGGGGTGTGTTGCAGCTCCCCATTTTACATGGCTGGGATGTCATCCGAGGTCTGTGGGGCACACTCGGTCTCCCGGGGCGGGAGAGGGTGGTCTCTGCTCCTCCAAGCCAGCCGGTGAGGGGAGGAAATGGAGCGACAGACCAGGCCTGCGCCGCTCCAGCGTCCCCTTCCGTTAAGAGCCTGGCGTGAGCAGCGCTCTGTTCCTCCGGCCTCCGAGCCCAGTGAGCGAGGGACAGCTCGCAGAAGGCAGCGGGTTATTCCTTAGCTGTGAAGCTGGGAGTAACCTCGATACCCAGCATTAGGGGAATGGTTAGGTAAGTCGCGGCGAGTGCTCACGCAGACTGCTATGGTTCCGGCTGTGTCTGTCACAAGTTTTAAGTGACCTGGAGGAAGACTCCTCAACATACTAAGTCAAAAATCCCGAAACAAAATTGTGAATGCAACACCACAAAGCGGAGGTCTCTGGACTGTACAATTATGCCTGACAAATTCCTTGTGCTTCCAGGCAATTTTTAAGTCTCAAATAATATGCATTCCTCTCACACTCCGCCATCCTGAAATAGGTGGGTCTACCTCCCTTTGAAAGGTTGGGGTGCCTCCGCCCCCCCCCCCGCTTCCTTCCCTCAGAAATCACCCCGGGAAGACCCACTTGCACTGAGCAGGTGCCCCAGACAGGCCGCTTCCTCAGCGCCGAGGTGGGTGCGCCCCGACCTCGCTCGTCCCTCATGCCACCAGCGCGCAGGCCCTATGCACGAAAGCGGGGTTTTCCAGTGCTCCCTCAGGGGGTCAGGATGCCCGCCCGCCGCCCAGGCTCCAGCTCCCTTCTTGCATCACAGTCTGAACTCTGGATGCTCCCGGGCTCTGCCTGGAACGTCTGAGGGGTGCCCCAAAAGGAAGGGGCCGCAAAACGCTGGGGGCGTGGGTGGGGGGTCGAGCAAGAGGCTATAAAAGGCTCTTCGTCAGAGGTGTCAGTCATCTCCTGGCTCGTCTCGGACAGGGGGTGCGGGGGACACAGGCCACCAACACCGCAGGGTGGCCCGGCAGGCCAGCCCCATTTGGGGCCGGGGAATGAGAATGTGTGCTGCTCGGGCGCGGGACGGCTGCCCTCCACCCAGACGGCTCTGCTTCGGGAGCGGTGAGTGCAGAGAGTGGGGCGCTGGGGGTGAACCAGACCGGAGAGCAAGGCCTTCCAGGGGAGAGGGCCCCTGTAGGCATCCGTCCACACACCCTCCCCAGCTCTGAGTCAGCGACGCGCTTGCATCTGGAGGCGAGGAGGGGAGGGACCTTCTCTATTACCCCTCAGACGCCCCAGCCCCAGCAGGCGACCCCAGCAGGCGGCCGGCACACAGTAGATACTCAATAAACACGTGAAGTAACCGAAGAGGAGCAGCACACACACTCCCAAGGGCGGAGAGCCAGGCCAACGGAGAAGCAGGCTCCTGGCGGGCTGCAAGTGTCAACCCCAGGGCTGAGGAAGGGGCCAGGCTGGGTTTGTGCAACATCCCTACCCCGGCCCAGGCTCCCGGGCAGCCAGAGAAACTGGGTCGTGGGCCTGGGGCAGAGGACCTCAGTGGGAGCGGGGGGCCGGGCCTGTCTGGCCCAAAGCCGCATTCCCATCCCTCGGCAGACGCAGGCGCCGGAGAGGGTGGGGCTGCCCTGCGCAGGTCCATGTTCTCAGCTGTCTGCTCCCATCAGCCCAGACAACCTGCTGATGACCTCCCCGGCTCCCGCCAGGCCCTGCTCATGGTCACCGGCTATCTTCTGAGGAAAAGACGGCTCTCCCAATGGCAAGACCAAGGCGTGGCTGAGCTGAAAAGGCAAGAGGTCCTGGGACCCAGAACACCCCAAGGAAAGAGAGGCCAGGGGGGCAGCCTTGGGAAACACCCCATCCTGTCCCCACACACGCGCCCTCGCAAGACACCTGACTCGTGGCCACATGAACACTGACTGTACCCATCTGGCCCCATCCACCCTGCCCTGCCCACTGCCAAGTTTGCACATTAGAGTCCTTCTGCCACTGAGGGGCAGTTGAGCACATGGGTTCTAGGGCCGGACTGCCCAGCTTTCTTTTTTCCTTTTTTTTTTAGGAAAGTAAAATATTTTATTTTGTATTTATAATTTTTTTTTTAAGATTTTATTTATTTATTTGACAGAGAGAGACACAGCGAGAGAGGCAACACAAGCAGGGGGAGTGGGAGAGGGAGAAGCAGGCTTCCCGCCGAGCAGGGAGCCCGATGCGGGGCTCGATCCCAGGACCCTGGGATCATGACCTGAGCCGAAGGCAGACGCTTAACGACTGAGCCACCCAGGCGCCCCTTGTATTTATAATTTATAAATCTCCCAAAGTTTCCAAATATTTGCCATCTATCTAATCTATCACCTATCTATCACCTATCTATCATCTATCTACCTATGTTTATTTTTTTATTATGTTATGTTAATCACTACACATTACATCATTAGTTTTTGATGTAGTGTTCCATGATTCATTGTTTGCGTAGAACAACCAGTGCTCCATGCAGAACGTGCCCTCCTTAATACCCATCACCAGGCTAACCCATCCCCCCACCGCCCTCCCCTCTAGAACCCTCAGTTTGTTTCTCAGAGTCCATCGTCTCTCATGGTTTGTCTCCACCTCCCATTTCCCCCCTTCATTTTTCCCTTCCTACTATCTTCTTTTTTTTTTTTTAACATATAATGTATTATTTGTTTCAGAGGTACAGGTCTGTGATTCATCAGTCTTACACAATTCACAGCGCTCACCATAGCACATACCCTCCCCAGTGTCTATCACCCAGCCACCCCATCCCTCTCACCCCCCACCACTCCAGCACCCCTCAGTTTGTTTCCTGAGATTAAGAATTCCTCATATCAGTGAGGTCATATGATACATGTCTTTCTCTGATTGACTTATTTCGCTCAGCATAATACCCTCCAGTTCCAGCTTTCTAATACAGACATCACCCTGCCCCCTGGATAACCGTGGAGAAGTCTCCACATGGCCATGCCTCTTGCTTTCCTCATCGGGACAAGGAGGCTACTCCTGGGAGGATGTCTGGAGGATTAGGTGAGATTAAATAAGATAATACACGTAAATCACTTAATGAGTTCTATTGTTAGCATGAAGGTCCCTGAAGGCAATATTTGTCTCTTGTATGGGCGCCTGGTACACAGCAGGTGCTCAGTAAACGCATGTAGAAAGAACGCTGAATGCACGAGGGGCCAGGCCGAGCAGAGTCTCTGCGTGAGACTGTCAGGCAGGGCGTGGGGCAGGAGGGGTGCTGGAGGCCGGGGCACCACGGGGGAGTCAGAGGAAGGACGCTCACTCCTGCCAAGGGCAGGACTGCTCCTAAGTTCCAGACAGTGGGTGCCACATGGGAACGGCAGCCCAGAGATGCCACGTCTTCCAGTATTTTCTGACAAAATAGGAGGTCCAGATTTTTATGTGAACTTAACTCAGGTTTAAAAATTGACAGCTAGGGCGCCTGAGTGGCCTAGTTGGTTAAGCATCTGCCTTCGGCTCAGGTCATGGTCCCAGGGTCCTGGGATCAAGCCCTGCATCGGGCTCCCTGCTCAATGAGGAGTCTGCTTCTCCCTCTGCCTCTTCTCTCTGCTTGTGATCTCTCTTGCTCTCTCAAATAAATGAATAAAATCTTAAAAAAAAAAAAAAATTGACAACTAATCTGATTACTAAAAAAGCAGGCCAATTAGAACTAATAAACTCAGCTAAGTCACAGGATACAAAATCAACACGTAAAAATCAGCTGTTCTTCAGGATGCCTGTGCGGGCTCAGTTAGTTAAGTGTCCAACTCTCGGTTTCGGCTCCGGTCATGATCTCAGGGTCGTGAGATCGAGCCCTGCGTCAGGCTCTGTGCTCAGCACAGAGTGTGCTTGTCCCTCTC